AATAGTAATAATCTTTTAGATCATACGTGCATTATCAAAGTTTTTCATACTTATTTGAAAACTAAACATATATTTTTATTTTATTAACTATACCTTAAAATGCAAGTTCAGCCTAAATAAAATCAAGTTATCTTAGAATAGTTTCTTCTTAATTTGGTTGAGCCAGAGGAAAAAACAAGATCATCCTATAAATTTATTACCTAATAAATACAATCCTTATAACAATATTAAACAATAAACAAAGTAATTCTCTGAAGAGGATTGCAAGTATGTATTTATGTAATTTTAGAAATTTGTCATTGGTGATTGTTTAAGATTAAGCAGAAATTTTCAAGAAACACTAATGATATATGATAGTTTACCTAAGAATCATAAAATTAAAATTAAAAAAATCTATTGTTTAATAGACTTAAAATAGTAGAAAAGGCAATTAGAATTATTAATAATATAATATATTAATAATAAATCCTAACAATTCAGGCGTTATTTCAAAAAGGGTAAATGTTTTAAGGAAAGGTTTTGTAGATGAAGCAATTTTGTGTTTTGAAGAATCAATTAATGAGAATAATAGTAGAAAAGCTGTAACTTAATCTTTGTTAGAGATAACCAAAATAAAAATTGATTAGAAGGCCTTTTATTCTGCTTTTTATCCTATACAAAGGGAAGATTATTTAAAATTGTACAAATCATCAATAAGATATTTGAATAAGTTCACAGAAGGAGTGATGTTTTCAATGAAGAGAGATTACAAAGAAGCTATCATAACCTTTACAGAATTAATCAACACATAATAATTAGAAGAGTTAAACAAATATTTTATTATAGAGCATGTGGTACCAAATAATATTTACAAAATAGGTTTTATGTGTATAAAAGAATATAAGAAGGCATTATAAGATTTAATTCATTGTTAAGATTAATATCAATTAGATCCAGCTAGTATTTTACTAAGACCTTAAGATCCACAATTATCATTATAAGCAGGTAATTTATTATTTTTTTATGGTGATTATAAAAATGCAATTCTTTCTTATTCTGAACTTTATAACATTTAAAATAATATTGAGTTAGAGAGCAAAGTGTTACATTATTTAAAAAAAACTTGATTAAGCATTTTTAGATTTAAATAGAGTTTATGAACTTACAATAGATCAAAAATATTATATTGATAAAGAATGTTTAAATGCATTACAAGTAGCAACAAATAAAAATTCAGTAGAATATTAAATTTTAATTTCTTAAATTCTACATAAAAGTAGTTAAATTATAGAGTGGCTTCGAAAACTTTAAAGGAAATAATGAATTTGAATAATGTATGAGATCAGATTTATTCTTTTATAGAAGTATTTATATCAAAGCAATTTTAAATTGGAAAAAATCTTATGAGTTAAAGCAATCAAGGGAGGATAATGAAGATCTATCTCTGAATTCATAATCATCAAATCTATTTGATAGTATAATATCAATATTAGGTGATCTAGAATTTTAGGATCGTACTTACACCATGTGTGAATATTATTATAATATTGCCCTTGCCTCTATTCTAGTAAATATTTTATTTACTAAAGAATAAAAAAAATGTTTATTTTGAAAATAAATAAATTCTAGAAGATTTGGCTGATAAATTACCTAAAACTTATATTCTAAGCATAAATTAATTGAGAGATGCCATAATTCTCAAAATAATCAAAATGCTTAAATATTCCCATTTTATAATAGATTATATTATATCTTTCCTAAATTAAAAATTGGAAATGCTATAACTAGATTATCATTTTGCTTACCTAAAATACCAACTCCATCAATGAAATTTGAGTTTGATTATCAATTATTGTAAAACATTTAAGTAATTTTAATATTTATATTTTAAGGTCGTATAAACATCAGTATTTCGTTATGTATTGAAAGGAAATATGACGGATGCATGCTCAAAAAAATCTATTAATGAGTGATATAATTTAATTTTGAGCCTGTAAATTATTAAAGAAACAGATGAAAAATAAGATAAAATTGAATCAATAGAAACATCTATGTCTCAAAGGCATAGAAATAAGTAAAGAGCCTGAGTATACTTGTTATTTCTAAAAGAGTAATTAGGAGTAGAGATGAAAAGCCACATAATGGATTAGACCTTTTTTTTGATGGTTGTATGTCTATAAGAGAATTTGATTGTTAAACATTCTTGCATCAATAACAAAATAAGTATACATATTTTCTTATAGTAAAATTAGTCATATTTACTTGACTTTCAGATTTAAAATAAGGATTGGCATTAGAAAACATCAAGAGTATATTTTCACTTATCAATACTATCTCTTTTATTGATCTTCATTATCATTGGACAAATTTTCATCTAGGTATGTAATTTGAAAAATTTATAAATTTGGCTACAATCTTTTTCAAAACTTACAGTCTCTATTTATTTGTAGTTTATTGATGATCCTTTTCTACTGCTTTTAAAAGGAGTATAAATTTGAGTTTGAATTATTTCTATTACATTAATTTTGTTAGTGTATAGTTTTATATTTATTTTATTATAAATTTAGATAAAATTACCTCCATCCTTATTGATTCAATCTCTATTTCAATCTTTCAAGAGAAATTTTATAATATTTCTTCTTCAATACATATTTTATTTATATTAAATTTATTTATTTTTGATAATCCCTCATTAATTTTATCAAAAAAAACATCAAGTTTATTTAATTATTATTACATTACTCAGCATTTTATATGATTATTCTTTGATATGTTAAAAGTTAAAGAGTTTTATTTTTATGAAATAATTGGGGGCCTTAGAGTTTGTAGAAATTTTTAAGTTTGAAAAAAATAATTAAACTTCACTCTTATATCATATAATCTAAGTTTAAACAATTTTTTTACTTGGCTTTGCTTTTTATTTTTTGGAGATATTATACAAACTTAAAGGAAATGATGAATTATAAAACTCAAGTTCATCCTCTATTTTGGTGAGATTGAGTTTGAAATGTAATTTATTTTGAAAAAAAAATATTTATTTAATAAATGTATTAAGTTATTACTATCACCTAATTCTTTCTATAATAGATTTACAAACTATGGACAAAAAGAGAATTATCATTTGAT